TTTAGGCAGTAGGATCTTATTTACTCTGGTCCTTAAGGAGTGATTAAAAAAAAAATCACAATAATATGCAATCCTGTTTTAGCTGCTTTAAGTTTTCGTTTTACCAATGAAAACCGTATATGCATTTGTTAGGGATTTCTTCTTGGTGACTAACACCTATCTCAGCAAGCGTTGAGTAATCTCAGCTGGTTTATGCCAGATTTGTGCAATGCATTGTTGCTTGTGACTTTACAAAAAACAAACATTAATGTAATGTTCTACTAACCTTGAGTTGCGCTCCCCTGGGCTGAGTGCTGGATGACTGGACTGCACGACAGACTTGTAAGCACCATTGCAGCCATAATCTCATCCATGTCCACTGTCTCTGGACTCCTGCAGTGTTGAAATAAGAGTTATAAAGGAGTGTTTCTCATTCAAAGGGTAATTCCGTCAACTATAACAAGACGTACCTTCTTGGCACATCAATGGACGAGGAGACTGAGGAGGTATGACTGGATGTGGGGCTCGTCCACACGTCTTCCAGCTTGCGATGAACGTGCTGGTTGAGCTGCGGCAGGAAGATAGACACTTCATTGTCCACGTGGTTATGCTGTTCGACCACACCTCCACATTCTTGGCCTCCGCAGTGCACATACACCTGAAACGCATCAGGTAAAACACCATGAAATGGCTGAGCGTAGCATTGTTGACCTTGTGTACCGCACCTGAGAATCCCATTCATATTTTGATTAAATCTACAACAATAAAGCTTACCTTCTGTCCTGGGTAAAGCTTGCTTCTGTGAGACCCACTATCCGGGCATCCAAGGGGTCCCGTTTCTGTCAGGCCCTCAGCTGAGGAACCACACACCAGGGTGCCCAGAGGGGACCGTTTCCCAAGCCTGGTCTTCGGCACCATTTTCCGTTCCTAGCACCTTGTATCTTCTTGCCTGCTTTGAAGAACTCCTGATGGAGATTCAGCAGTGCTATTCAAATGACGAACAGGAAGCTGAGAAGAGGAAACAAACAAATGATTACCGTTTTGGCCACTCTGCACATTTTATTGCCAGAAAGAGAGCATGATGTTTTGGATATAGCAATTTTCTGTAGGTCTCATTTGGTGGTTTTATTGTGTATATATGAGGAATAGGCCAAAAAAAAAATTATCTCAGTTTGGACACCCTGCTCTCTAGATATCAGTATCAGTACTGGAAATTGAAAAACCCAGCGGTCGACCAAAAGTTGTATTCAAACAAAAAAGCATTTATGACAAAATCATTTTTAAATATATATATGATTTAATAATAATATATCTAAATGTGTAATGTTGTATAAATAGATATATTAACCTTGCCATTTACAAATTCAGGGGGGGAAAAAAAGACAGGCCACTGGTGTATGTACAAAATATTAGTATTAGTCTCAACATTGCTGTCACCTGTTGAATCTGATCAATGAAATCAGCATGAGTCACAAACCATCTTTACGTGAAACATCCGACAACTTAGTGTCAAACTATTAAGACATCACAGGACGAATAATGCAAAATCTAAAGTTTACTTGCAACTGTGCACATTGACTATGAGTCATTGTCAGCACAGAATGAACCCCAGGGAAAACTACTTTAAACTGATGCAGTTCATAAAACTGCTATGGTCATGCTAGGCCCTGTAACTTCAGAATGTTCACTCAAGTCAAGAGTTTAGGGCACAAAGGAATCGACCATTATTACCAGCTGCTGTCAGGTATTAAGTTTCCTCTCTTCCAGTAAAAAGGTGATTCAGAATAACTGTAACTGATTAAAGTGAAAATTTCCCTTGATTGCCAAATACTACACATTTAACAGCATGAAAGAGAGATTACTTCTTGCAATTTTTATTTTATTTTATTTGTATTATGTATAAAGACAATGCAAACAGAATAATAGAGGTGAATAAGATAATGTGCTTCATCCAAAATGTAAATGTCCTGTAAACCAGTGGATAAGAGCTAGATACTGAAAAGTGACAGTAAAGACCTTTATAATGCTACTAAAAATTTCTGTTTCAAATCAATGATGTTCTTTTGAACTTTCTATTCATCAAAGAATCCTGAAAAATATCAGCTTCCACATAAATATTAAAAAGCTGTTTTCAACACCTGATAATAAGAAATATTTCCTGAGCACCAAACCAGCATATTTCTGAAGGAAATGTATTAGTATTGTGTATAACAGAGCAGAAAATACTGTGCAAACCATTAAAATGACTTGATATTGCCCAAGATGATAATATTAAAATGTTACTGCTTGTTTTTTGAGTCTAATAAGAACTATTTTATTCTCGAATGTTAAAATAATAATAATTTACAAAATAACGGTGTTTTTTTTTTTCATGCAAACGCCTTTTATTTACATCCACCCTGCAACAAAATCCATTTTCCTTTCCTAAATCTGTTAAAAACTAATTATATCTGGGTGATTATAAAAGTTGAAGAATATAAGATAATGGTTTCGGGACACGAATGCTCGGTACATAGAAAACTAGTTATAGAAAGCCACGCTAATCGGTTCTTTGCAAAGAACCGGTTCAAAAAACGACCCGGCTATTCTATTACGTCATAACGTAATTACGTCATAGCGTGTTTCCTGAACGTCTATGTTCCTGACTGACACACCGGCGTGGCATATTACATGTTAAAACATTCCAAAGACGCCATTCAGGCACGTAGTGCTGTTTTATACTAACAGGGGTGCTTACCGTGATTTAATGTATCCCCTTTTTTTGCAGTCAAGATTCAGCTCATAAAAACAAAGTCAGAACTAATAACTTGCGTTTACATTGAACATTCTCAGGGCTGATACGTTTTAGCATAAAATATTATTTATTAAACCACGGTCTCGTATAAACTTATATACAATCATAAACGTTTTATTTGTAACATTTCTGTTGTTTGGCAATTAAAACAACTCGTTTCCGACATGTTTGAAAACCCAGGCCGATTCATTCACGTTCAGATCGGTTTTGTGAACCCGCTCATTCAATTCACTGAAGATATCTAACTCAAAAGAACCGTTCGTTCAGGAATCGGACATCGCTGATTCAGAACATTAATAACAGCGCTTCAGTTGCTCACCACATGCTCGCAGAAGCGTCGCGACTAGAACCGGCAGCCGGAGCGGATTAACCATCTAGTATTCATTCAAAACGCTGAATGCTGTCCTTGCAAAACTGACCAGAATGTAGCAGCTGGACAGTTAATCTATTCCAATGAGGAAAAGATAGTTTCTGCACATTTCTAAGCCGGAATTAATGAACCAACTGACTTTTTTCATTCGGTTTAGAAACAGTTTTTCATAACAAATGCAAAAGTTCACAGTTGTGTTGATATTAGTACAGAAAAACTAAAACAATCTTCCTCCTAAAAGGTTTTAAATCGAAGTAAAACATCGCATAAACAAACCAAAAGCCTTTTTTTTTATATTGAATCACTGTAATAGTGTACTAACCTTAATGGCAGCAAACAATGCAGTCTTGACTAAGAAGCATACAGAGCAACGAAAAGACACGAATGCATTAAAACAGAGGAAAAAACTTTCAATGAACGCTGCGCACGTACCTTTGCCAAATTTCAACACACCCCCTTCCCACAAGGCTCCCTCTGACCGGCTGTAACTTGAAAATGTCCTTTTCAGAGCCCAGAGAACGGCTTGTATTCAGGTATTCAAAATCCTGGCCTGGATTTTTTACAATTACGCATAACTGTACTTGTTTGATAAAGCACCAAGAGCGTAAGAACACTACTATTAAAGCTGTCTATTCTAATCTACAGTGTTCACTTTACACGCCATGGATGAGTCGAGTTTCTGTTTGATTCCGTTTTAATCCGCATTGCTTCCGTCTTCACAGAGAAAAGACGTTCCAGTGTAATCCGATGCCGGGTTTTTCACTCGGCGCCTTCTAGCGGGCTTCTGCTCTTGTAGTAAACAACCTGACCATGTGGTAGGCATGTCGACGCTCATTGGCTGAACACCGCTTTCCAATACACACGCCCTACAATTCCAACTTGTTTACGATAGGTCAAAGAAATACGTTTTAATATAATTTAAAAAAGGATTTTGTCACCTGAACGGTTTCTACATGTTTTGGCAGCTACGTGTGATCTAATAAATAGACAAATGTGTTAAGCTCATGGGTCGGTGAAGAGGGGTGGATTTGGCATTGTGCATAAGCAAAAACATTTAATTACATTTAGAATTTATTAAATAAGGCATGCAATTAAAGCTCTTGTAATATATTGTAAAACATAGGCGTTGCATTGAAGTATCAGGTTGATGAGGTTTTTCTATTCTTGAAAGAACTGGTTCAAAACATAATGTTCACCTGCACATGAATCAAAACATCCTCAGTAATGTTTGGTGAAACAGAGACCCCAGGTATAAAACAATAAATGCAACACATTGTCACAATATAAGATTCTGTGGTAAATGCCCCTGTAGTGAATACCTCCTTTTATGTTATCTAGTATCTGATGCATTACATAATATTTCACTTTAGATCGGAGTTCAGTATAGTGTCTATTTATTATATTAATGACAAAAAAGGATGTCTGAAATTACAAACAAATTTAGTTGAAAACCATGTGCTTAGTCAAAAACAAAGTTCTTAGGAATGTTCTGTACATTTTGCATATTTTGAAAAATTCTCTACAAACAGTTTGACTAAAACACTATTTTTCAAGTTTTTTTTTATTCGTTTTTGAGTCATTTTTTTCTTAAAATGGTTTCTTGCATGTTGTTTACACTACTGATTTAGTGTATAACAAATATGATACAGTTGTTTCACTGCTTATTTTTAAAGAATACAATTATTTCAACGATTAAGAATTTCAGCCTCTAAATGCCTTCATAACAGTTAAAAAATGTGAAGAAAAAAGAATCACATATTTCCCCTAAATAAAAGAATAAATTCAATCTCAACAGAACAGGGGGGTTAATTCTAAAGAGTCTGTAACTTTAATTACATTGTAAAAGTTTTTTTTTAAAATCCAATTTATTCATTCCCACTGGAATTCGAACATTTGTTCAAAACCTAAAAATATTCACCAGTATGCTGCTGATTATATACATGAATTAAAACATACACAGACCAGTCAATCTGGGAGAAAGTCTATATATATCACCCCTACTATAAATATGAATGCAGAATAATTTCACAATACTGTACTTCATTAGAAAAAGAAATGAAAATCTTCATTTCTTTAGGTCTGTCTGGTAGTGTTGCCGACCCTTCCACCTCTTCTTCAGATGGAGATGTGACACCTGATTTTCTTGCTTACATTGCATTTAATCCGTGACCACCTGAATAAAGATCCCTATTTGTCAAAACAGGTGTGGCCAGAAGATCAGGCTCCCTCCCCTGAGGGACACTGACCATTCTTATCTGAAACTTTGCATAAGGATTCAGCTTTGAATCAGTCCAGTCAATGTTGAGGGACAGATCAGGGGGGCTCATAGTTCCTATGGTCTCAAAATTTGATGGGCACTTATGCGAGTCAATGCCACAAAGCAGGACTTCAGCCCAGCCCCAGAAGGATACAGAAACTATTTATCTCCACATAATGAGGGGTTTTATTTAGTATGAGCATTTCAGGTTGCATAATAAATATGGTGGAACTCTCTGCAGGCTTGTTTCCACCATTCGAAGTTGGTGGTGTTACGCCTACAGCAGTGATGCCATTTGTCATCTGAATGAAAAAAATATTAAGAGAGGTACTTATATGTTTGTATTGTCGAGTGAAATTTCACTCGAAGAGTATTTTAAACATAGAAAATAGTCATCCGAAGTGCTTACACTTTCTCAGATAGCTTGAAGTGCTACCGAACCCTCAGTCGTTGTCCCAACCCCACCGTTTATTTGAGTTGGTGGACTTGAACCTGCAAAAGCACAGATATATAGTCATGCATAAGACCATCATGTATATTTCTCATGTGTGGCGAAAAGTGAAGCATTTTCACTCGGTTTAAATGACTCTTGTGGTTTGAATTACTCGCAATGATCTTTTTTGTCCTGGAGAGACATACCATGAGTGAGTGTGTGACTTCTCCAGGGTCTGTACACAACGTCACCAGTCACAGCCTCTAAACCTATACAAAGACAAGATTAAAGTGCATCTGCTGAGTGGGGCTGATAGCATTGCTAAGAGATAAACAGCTATTCAGATTCAAAAGAAATTCATTGTCATTGACAACTCAGTTTTACCCATTTCATCATCTGTGATGTCATTAGCAGCAGGGTTTTGTCTGGCACCACTTGAATTGTCCATTCTTGCCTGTTCAATTAAGAATTACAATTGAGCACAAGATATACATCACTTTTCTTTTATTTAGCAGTGATGCATTAAACAGATCAAAAGTGACAGCAAAGCCATGTAATGTTACAAAAATAAAATACATTTTAAAGTTTCCACAAAAATATTAAAACACCAAAAAAGTGTTTTGAACATTGACAATAATGAGAATCCTTATTAATAATTGAGCACCAAATCTGCATATTAGAATGATTTCTGGAGGATGTCATTGACAACTCAGTTTTACCCATTTCATCATCTGTGATGTCATTAGCAGCAGGGTTTTGTCTGGCACCACTTGAATTGTCCATTCTTGCCTGTTCAATTAAGAATTACAATTGAGCACAAGATATACATCACTTTTATATGATAGTATATTGCAATGTTTCTATAAACTAAGTATAAAAATTTTACCACAACATCAAATCAAAACCACTTATATAGTATATTATTATTTAGTATAACCACTTTTTAATGAAATGGTAAACCATCTTTCGGTGGTTATACTGTAGTGACATGTCTTTAACATATAATTATAAACCCAACAGAACTACAGGTACAGTAGGTAATCCTCACCCCAAAACCAAAATGACACATGGAACAGGTTCCAGAACAAAACTCAAGAGATCCACCTGCTCTTAGTCATTTACAAACAGTGAAAAAACGCACCTCTCCCAGTTTCACTGTTTGATTATTATGCTCATTGAACAATAAGAATGTAAGACCAAAGAAACTTTCTTAAAGAGACAGAAACTAAATAATTAACTATATATTTTAAATAATCTCCATATGAGCCAAAAATTAAGTGGCAATGAACAAGTCAGGATTCATTTAAATACAACATAACAGGTGCAAAATATGAGCAAAAGTACCTATACAGATAATAATTCAGTGACCTCCTTCTGTCAGTGAACTCTTGTTCGAAGCGTTCAGATGCAGTCCCTGGGCAGTCTCTCTCCACTCCTCTTGTATCCTACATATCGGTGCAGACAACAGACATCCGTCAGCCAGCTCCTGTCAGCATAACACTGACTACCTTTCTGACAGGAAGGGGAAAATAATGCTTTGATAAGCCCCATTTCCTCATTCTTTCATTCGTCTTCACATCAAACATCCTGCCAATCACTCATCGACTCCTCATGCACATTCCTCCCTCTCACACCCACTTTCAGATGTACGTACTGATATCCACTTACAGAATCAAAAGATTTCATGGATGACGTTCTATCATAGACACCCAAAAAAATCTGTTTGTTTATTAACCAGAGATGAAATATGTTAAGTACGGGACATTACTGTAATGTAGGGACTTACCATTCCAGCTAGCTACTCCTCGTTCAGAAGTCCCAAGAATCTGACAAACCTGGAAGTGCCGCCACCCTGGAAGGGCTGACCTAACCTGCTTTTAACTACTAACTAGTCTCTCTGTGGGTATATTTTTAGTGTAACTAACAGATAATTTGCATTAACACAAATTAAAGACGTACTTTGTACCCTGAGAACATTTTAAAATAATTTTCTTGTCTTTGACGCTCATTTCCAGATAAATGTAATTTGCATTTGATAAATGGTGTAATGTTAGGATACAGATGAAACAAAGGCTAGCAGTCAAAACGGCTGTATCTCAGCAGCCCCAAAGTAAAAAAAAAGTCAAATAAGTTCCAAAAAATTTACATTTTTTTCCAGTTCCACACAAAAAAAATTCCAAATGTAATTGTGGAACTTAACTGTATAATATAAAAAAGATTTATAATTTAATTGTAAAACAATTACAACTTTTTAATGTAATGTAATTACAGACTTTTCAATAAAATATATTTTGGCATTTGATTTTATATCCAGTGCTGAAATAAGTTTAAGCTGAAGTACTAAAATTACTAAAACTGTAATATTAACTGTAATATTATTAATATAAACTGTAATAAAATTACTAAAACTATATATAACTTCACTGCAGTGCTTATACAAACCCAATTCATGACACTAAACAAGAATTACTGCCAGTGCAATCAAGTGTAAAGCCTGAAGTTTATCCCACATGCATCAAAGTTCTTGACCGCCCTCTGGTGGCCGAGATTAAAACCACAGCTGAGGGTACATCAAATAAATGTCAATTAATATGAAAATCAAATTAAATCTTAAAATTATATTGGATTAACAGTTAGCTTCTTTTTTTAACACATAAATAATTTTATTATTTTCATTAAATTACAGTAAGATTTTTTATTTATTTTTATTTGACCTACTGGCTTATATATCATCACTATGCAGACAGTCTGCATAGACTTCATAAAGTACAATCTCACAATATACTGCCTACTTGCGTGGTCTCTCTTTCATGTATTCATATGTTAAGCATGAGCTAGTATGAGTAAGATGCTGCTCTCTGTGTTTTGTGACAGAGCCACATTCCTGCCTCATTCCTTACAAATTTCCATAGTAGAAAAACTTGACAGTGATGTCTAGGAATGTAGCTTACAGCAACAGAGTGGGTGACTTGCTGCTACATACCTATAGGACACGTATAGTTGCCCGTTTCAGTTGACTTCATCTTTTGAGGTATGCTTTTTAGTAACTAACTTCCATCAAGATCTTTTAAAGGTCACTCAGAAACCACTCACTTTTTACAGCTTGCACAGAGAACAAGAAGTGCGATGCTAACGATGAAGAGGACGACAATGGAGAGAAATGCAGCCTCTGGTTGCTCTGTGACCGCCCAGCCTACAAGATCAGTGCTGATTGGTGCCATGATTGTGATACCTACAGGAAGACAGATCAGATATTAAACGCATTATTACAAGTACATATACACTGGGGAAAAAAATGGTGTAGAAACAATTTTCACTCAGAACCTGCTAGTAAATTTCATAAAGAATGGCAAAAGTGGCAAGTAACACGAAATTAAATGTGAAATTCTTAAGTAGAAAAATCATTTTTGTAATACTACATTTACATTACTTGATCATTTCGCAGCTTGTGAAAATGGGTCCTCTACTCATTACGGTGGCAATTATTTTGTCATATGTATACAAAGTGTCTAATTATATAAATCTTATCATAATGTATACATTTTAAGGAGTGGACATCATACAATTTTTAATTGTGCCTGATTGCTAGTGCTTTACACACAAAAGAAGGCATCTAGTTAAAAATAAATTCAGAATCCTGTCACAAAAGTTAGTCACATACTACTTATCATAAAATTCAAAAGCTCCCTTTTATATTGACTGTTTTGCCTATCTCATGAAGCACATTGGTTACCACAGAAAGATGTTTTCATACGTTTCCACTGGTATTACCAAATGTTTTCCAAAACTGCAATGAAGCAGTTTTAAAGCAACAAAACACACCAAATGGGGGAGAAAAACAAAAACTGTTCACTTTTGATAAGCCAGATTGTTCTTCTCTTAAGGGCTCTTAAACATGAAACACCAGGGATCATTCACCTAAAAATGAAAACTCTCAGTCTTTACTCACCTTCCAAAGTCAAGGACTGAAGTGTTCAAGCTCCAAAACAGTGAAACTAAAATAACATAAAAGTATCATAAAACTGAGTCTTCTCAGGCCACAAGAAGGCTTTGCTCAAGTATGATGCCTGACATGTGAATGAATCATTCATTTGAGTCAGACCTTTTGAATGAATTGGTTGGTCCGAAACTGGATCTGACTGAGCCGGTTCTCGAGTTGACTAAATTACTAGCTTCGTAGTGGTTAACAGCTCACTAGGGAGGAATATTTTTATTGAAAAACCATGTAAATTCCAGTCCGTTTCTCATGCAAATCTATCGTATGGCTTCAGAAGACTTGGAATATAGCGCAAGAGTGGTATGGACTATTTTTTATGATGATATGATGTTTTTATTTCCTTTTTGAAGCTCGAAGTTTCCGTAGTCATGTAATTAGTGTGTTGCCTGGAATAACCAGAACCAAAATGGTTTGTTCCACAGAAGAATGTAAATGTTACAGGTTTGGAACAACACGAAGGTCGGTACTGTAAATGATGACAGAACTGTAATTTTTGTCACAAAAACTATTACATAGAATATAGAAGGCACATTCTATGGATTTAATATTGCTTGTTTACTATTCGTATAAAACTTTAGCTGGGATTGTTTTTGTAATTTTACCACAACATCAAATCAAAACCACTTATATAGTATATTATTATTTAGTATAACCACTTTTTAATGAAATGGTAAACCATCTTTCGGTGGTTATACTGTAGTGACATGTCTTTAACATATAATTATAAACCCAACAGAACTACAGGTACAGTAGGTAATCCTCACCCCAAAAATGAACACATACTATAGTAAATAAATAATACTAAACAAAAAAAACTTGATATATATTTTCAACATTTTTGCTGAATAGTTTGTGGAAACGCTTATAGTCGGTTCCCATTGTGACAACATGCCCCGCCCTATAAACAATCAATTTATGTACAATGAACTGTATTTTTTTTTTTCATATGCAATAATGGTAGGACTTTTCAATAGCCCTTTTCTAGCCAAACAAAGGTTTGTACAAAAACTTTATTTATATGGGGTAGACAGTGGAAAAGGGTGAAAATGTAGCCGGTAGTCTGTCTCTTCTATATGCATGAGTGGTGTGGCTTAGTGGTTCACAAATTACAGCTTATAGGTTCTAAACTGAGTGCTGAAAGGGTGATTTATAAGTTTACCCAACCCATTGCTCTAGGGTGATTGTCCCTAAACATGTACTGCAAGTTGTTTTAGATGGAAAAGATTTGCTAAACGAAGACTAATGCAATGTAATACTTGTGGGCTATTACATAAAAAGCCACCAATATGGATCCACAGTTGTTACTGATAGCGAAGGCATAACGTCATCTCTCTGAGAGCAGATCCTCAAGCCAATCAGAAGCATTGTGGGATGTGAAAAACATGTTCGAGATATGGTACTAGAACCTTTAATCTGATCTGTGATTGGCTGCATATTTTGTGTTACATGTCACTAATCGATACACAGAATGAAAGCGGGTTTTCTCTGCCGCTATTTCTGGACACTGGCATGCAGTGTCATGCCTCCCACAATTTTGCATATCACAGTCACCCAGGCAACCACTTAGAAAAAAAGCGCTTGCATCCAAACTCGGTCTCTTTTGTTGTGAATATTTAATCCTTGCTGCAGCTGCTCGTATGCCGTCAATGTGACCGGCCAATGCAATGCAAAGGGCTCTATGGATTGTTAAAGGGAAACACACCTCCAATAACCACAGCTGCATCCAGCTGGGTGGGTTTCTTTTGTGAGAGCATGGCACATGTGCACGCTGTACTTACAGAAGCTTACCGAGTTTGCTTGCCGTGCACGTGTGCTGGACGCAGCCCAGACAGCAGCAAATCAGCTGCTCACACAATCTCCCTCAGGAAGAATTTCTGTTTCACACTTTGTCTCTCTCTCTCTCTCTCTGTCCCTGTTAGAGATGCACTGATAAGCCGTTGGCTGGAGTGGAAGACTTGTGCACAGGGAACACAGATGCTCTACATGTATTAAACGGACACACACACACTCACTGCAAGATGCCAGCTCATCTCAGCCTGGCAGAGCAGGAACGGGCGTGGAGGAAGACGGCAAGGACAGCAGAGCTGGGTCTCGCTGCGATCTCGGAGAAGGGACCGATGAAGATGTGCGACACTGCGAGGAAGCAGAGAGGTTGGTGAGATGCAGATGATAAATATGACATTCATTAACCACATCTGCTAATTCAGGGCTCAAAATAAACTGCACACAACTTTGACAGAGCATATGCATCTTAAAATTCTGGATACAAACATATAGAGATCCTTTTAGGTGGTATAAGCTGTTAGACCCATCTGAGTGTATATACTAACTAACAATACACTTCTTTATGGTTAGCTCAGATAGTGACATATTAAGAATGGGTTATGTATGTGTGTGATGATGCTAGCTGTGCTAAAGGTGTTTAAAAGGTGTTTATAAGGGTCTCACATCACATGATAGATGTCTGTTATGTAACGCCCCCGATGTCAAGTTCGTCTGCTTTAATTTTCTTAGACCAAGTGACTAAAATATGCATGCAAAATCTGCAACTCTGATAGGTTCTGCGTCCGTCATGCTCCATACTTCACCCCTCGATATCATTGTTGTGGTGATCTGGAGTGTGAAGTTCACCATCGCCACATACTCTTCAGTCAAGCGCTGAATTTGTTGTTCTACACAGCAAGAGTAAAACAAATGTTGCCTTTGTAATGGTCTACAGGCCTTGGGCTGTCTTGATTCAGAGGACAAAGTCAAAACTGGCATGAGACAGGCCTCATGTTCATCTTTATATCTGCCTTTTGGCCCTTAACTTTTGTTTGTAGAGAGTCTTTTCAAAGACACTAAAAAAGGTTTGCATAGTATGGGAGCCCAAGCCTGTATTTGCTGAAATACACTACTTAGTTAAGTTAATAGGTTTATCAGAGTACACGGAACACTAAATTATCATCTTTTTAACCCAAGGGTAAGGCCACTATTAATTCTGGGTTAAGTAATGCTGTACGCTTGTAAAGCACTGCTTTTAGGTTTTGAGGAGTTATGAAATGGAGATGCCAAAGGTATACAGTATAAAGTGTCAATATAACCCAGGGTTAAAAAGTATTTTTTGTATGTGGCTACAATGGTTCAAGATATATTTATTAGATATATTTATTAATTCCAAGGCTGCAAATATCAGATAAAAATCCAGTAAAAACAGTAATATTGTGAAATATTATTACAATTTAAAATAACTGTTTTCTATTCGAATATAATTTAAAATTTAATTTATTCCTGTGATAGCAAAGCTGAATTTTCAGCATCATTACTCCAGTCTTCAGTGTCACATGATCAAAAATCATTCTAATAAGCTGATATGGTGTTCAAGAAGCATTGCTTATTATCATCAATGTTGAAAACAGTTGTGCTGCTAAATATTTTTGTGGAAACCGTGATACATTTCTTTCAGGATTCTTTGACAAACAGACAGTTCAAAAGAACAGCATTTATTTGAAATAGAAATCTTTTACAACATTTTCAATGTTTTTTTACTGTCACTTTTGATCAATTTAATGCATCTTTGCCGAATAAAAGTATTAATTTCTTTAAAAAAAAAAAAAAGCTACAGACCCCAAACTTACACTTTCAAGGGGGAAACACCCACGAGTCAATGGGATTCTTACTTGTCTGAATAACAATGATGCATGCGTCAATCAAAGGTTTGAAGTAACATCCTTGTGTGCTTATTTCAAGAATTTTCAAGAGATCAATCATGAAGGCTTTCACTATGCTATGCATTCCTCATTGTCGTAATGTTGTAAATCATCACACCCCTTACCTTCAAACCTACCTGTCTGCTTTTCAAACTGGGTTAAAGAGTTTGGTAAATTTCAGCAGAATGTTTAGAGACCAAAAAACTAAAAGACTTTCATGTTTGCCGTTCATCTATCTTTTTTTCTTCTCTGCACTAAGTTAACAGCCTCTCTTTTTTTTTTTTTCAGATTCCAGATCTGATGTGAAACCCACAGCCCTGGAGCAAAAAAGAAAAGCATGTGCTCCACTGAACATTAAATCAGCACAGATTAATATCAACAAACGAAATGGAAATAACACAGGTCTAAAATAGCTAATATTTATCCATCAATTCAATTTGCATTATCCTTTCTCAAACCTTTAGTGCCTGATACTGCTGCCATGGATACAAAGTCAATAACGAATCTGTCTTTAAAGCTGAATCTTCCCAGATGCTCCTTTTTGTCATTCATTCCAACATAGTTGAATTTATTATATTATGTGCTGCATGAAAAATGTCAGTATAATTATTTTATAATTTAGAGTCAAATGCGCTAAAAGTGGATGAGAGACTGCGATTGGCCCGGGAACGGAGAGAGGCGTATCAAAAACAGCTGGGTATTTTCCTTACTCTGAACTCAGTTATATTAACATCATTACCAATTGAAGAACAAACGGAAAGCTTTATGAAGTTTTTCTTGGTGTACCTGGATTGTAGTGCTGCGTGAGCGCGGTTGGCTGGCAAAGGAAGAGAGGGCCAAGCAGTTCTATGAGAAACACCTTGAGGAGCGACGGAAGAAGTTGGAGAAGCAGCGACAAAGAGAGGAAAGGAGGAGGATAGTGGTCGAGGAGAAACGCAAACAGAGGCTCAAAGAAGAAAGAGTGAGTTTATGCATGAGATAAATAGTGACTGATGCTTGGTGGGAGAGATTTTGTTTGTATAGCATATATATGCTTCCAGTGAAGAGTTTGGACATTGTAGAACAAATTTATCAAGTCAACGATGATGAAAAATCGCTGTGGAGATTTTGCAACCATGATTAAAAACATACGGAGCATGGGATGATGGGTGTGTTCTCATCCTGTGTTTTAGGAGCGTTATGAGTCTGTGGTGCGGAAGACAATGGAGAAAAGTCAGAAGGCTAAACAGAAACCTGGTCACTGCTCACGAAACGTCACCAAGAACAAAATCAATAATGGTGAATATTTAAATGCACGATTCAAAACGCAATAACTGGTGCTAAAACTCTCTTCTAGCCTTGCATCCATTTTCCCAACTCCCTTTCTGACCTCTTCCTGTTAGTCGTTCTGCTTTCTGCTCTCCTCTAGCTAAACGCCGCTCTCTTAGTCAGTGGGAGATTGACCTTGTCCGTCGTCTTCAGACTCCTACCGTCTCTTATCTAGCCAGAAGCAGGAGCGCTGTGTGTCTGTCACGAGACACAGGTATCACTTTAGACTGAGGAATTGCATCTTTCATTCAGATATTTCATTCAGCTGGGTGTAATAAATATTGGCTTCCTTTTTTCTTCTTCATTCATCCTCATGAATTTACCTCATCTTAAAAAAAACAAAAAAAACACCATATGTCTTCAGTTGTTCATATTTGTCGTCGTTCAGCCTCATGTCATACCATGAACTCCAGCACCACGCGAAAGCTCCAGGTGCATTGTGGGAAAGCACCAAACAGGCTTGCAAGCTCAAGTCCAAATGTCACCATCCGCAGAACCACCAACAGAGAGCTGGTGAGTTCACACATTCATTTTCAAGCCATTTGGTTCAATATAAAAATAAACGTTACTTTGTTGCATGACATACTGCATGTGGTTTTTACAAAAAAATATTTCAGGTGGCAAAAGGCGATTTTGAGGGACAGGACTTGAAAAAGCCACAACTACAAGCAACAACAAATGAAATCAAGCCCAAACAGGACACAACCCTACCAGAGAATACTGTCCTCCCAACATCATGGTACATTTTATATATTTGTACAGAACAATCTCTTAGACTTCAGCAAGTCATTCCATTTTATATCACTGCTGTCTAGGAGAAACAACATCAAAGCTGCACTATATGGTAGTAACTTTCAGGTTTGTGTCATTCGTCCTTGCATGTCATGCAGAAGAGCAATGGCAAAGCACAACTGCCGAAAGAAACAACTCCAGCAGTTACTTGCAATTTTACGTTTCAACCACAGATGGCGACAGAGAGGCTAAAATGATGTAGTGCAGCTTTAAAGAGCTCTAACTTGTGGTTTTACTTTCTTTAAAGGAATGAGTAAAATCAATCTTTCTTCAAACTCTCAAAATTATACTATTGGTCATTATGACCCGTTCTCTCTTCATTTACCCATTTCCAAGGCTGCAGAACAGATCACATGTCAGACAAGCCACACTTAAACAAGACAGTCTGCCTCCACTGCCAGAAGAGGGGGATCTAGAATCTGAGGAAACACTTGCTCAACAATGTCTACAAGTTAACCAACTCCAGTCGAATCCAGCTACTAATGGGCCTCCGAATCCACCAGCAGGCTCTCAGATTCCTAATGGTAAGTGAAAAACTTGCTCAGACACATTTTCCAATAATTACCAAATATTTATAATGTTAATAAATCAGTTTAGAACCTTTTTGCTAAAATGGTTCGTGACGAGTACTGCATTAGGTTACTGTACTATGGAACAAACAAATAAATTGCAAGTCAACAAAACTATGAAATAACAAATAAAATATTTTTTCCCAAATTCAGCATTAAGAAATAATATTTTTAAGTATATCAACCCTCTACATTGCGAGTAAATCACTCGCATATGCGATTAAATCTTCACTCTGGCGACTAAATGATGTCTAATATTAGCCAATTGCTAATAAATTCTCAAATTTTACTCGCCAGTGTGTGAGTTGGAAATCTTCCTCTATCTTTTGTGTCTTAGTAACTGCTTTTGATTATCAATGCTAAATTGTATTTGTAAAATTAAAAGGCCACAATTTAAAGTTGTTCTTTGCTGAAGTAACTGGACAGTTAAATATGCTAAAGTTAAAATTCTGTATTTAAAAAAAACACAGTTTGAACTTCATGATGTAAGTGATATAAATCATGATATAAATTCTTAAAGTGCATTAGGCACCTAACTGAGCTTGTGTGGCTCATCTTTGCAGAAAGAGCAGAGAGGGCCTGGCCCGTCGAAGAGTTGAAGAACGAGCCAGAGAGGAAGCAGAGGCTCTGAGACTGGAGGAGGAGAAGAGGAAGAGAGAGGAAGAAGAGCGATTGAAGGCTCAAGAGGAGAATGCTCGCAGACAGAAAGAGGAGGAAAACAGGCTTCAACAGCAGGTATTAAAAGCTTTTGAATGTTTAAATCCCTTTTTCAAACCTAGTTTAATATGTAAAAACAATTTCCAAATGGTTTACTTATAGTGTCACCGAAAAGTGAATACATTTTGAGCATCCCAACCAGCACTGGCTTGAGTTTGAGTTTGTCTGACCAATGGGGAAGTGCAGGAAACATGTTTGAAAACAATCAATATTGTTGCAAGTGCATCTGGTCCAAAAAATACACATGGGGCTTTAAATATAGCGATTCCTGTGCTCCTCTCATTGACATTACCATCTTACACATCTTCAGACCATTTATTTTTTCTCCTTAAATACAGCTAGGGTCATATATTAAATGGATTATTGGAAATAATAAAAAAATTCCTATAATGCTCCATAATCTATTCTCAGAGAGAGCAAGAGGCTCGTCAGAGTGTGCTGGCAGAGAAGCAGAGACTGGAAAGAGAGAGTCACTTCCAGAGAGAGGAGGCCGAACGCCAAGAGAGGAAAAAGGTACAACTTAGAAACAGACTCACTTTCAAATATACACAACATTAATACCATTCTGAACATTGCAAGTTTGGGGTCAGTAAGTTTTTTTTAGTTTTTTTTAAGGGGTCATATGATGCTATTTTAAAGATCATTATTTGGTGTATTTGGTTTAACAGAATATGATGACATGCTTTGATGTTCAAAAAACACATTATTTTTCAAATACTGTACATTATTGTAGGTCCTCTATGCCCCTCCTCTCTCAAACGCGTCGTTTTCAACAAAGCCCCCTCCTTTGACAAGCGCAGTCTGCTCTGATTGGCCAGCTGACCCAGTGCATTGTGATTGGCCAAACACCACAAGCAAGTGTCGGAAATGTATGCCATTTACCATAATCGCTTCAGCTTTCAAAGTAAATGTCAAGACAGTTAATAATGTCGTTAGTTTTACCATCAGTTCAAGCCCGAAAGGGCAACAGAGTCGCGTGACCGACACAGTGATGATGCAGTACACAAGCCGCGGTTAAGACAGCTGACGTGCTATGATTTCTGACAGGCAGTTCACTCTCCTGTGATGTGACCCTGTTCCCCTCACACACACACGACGCGTTACTCTGCGCTGCGCAAAACTCCGCATTTGAACAGTCAATAGCAAATACTTAAACTAATAACAAAACATACTTACAGTCGCGGATTCAGAAGCGCCAGATTGTCATAGCAAAGTCGGAATTGACACTTTTCTTTTATTTTTTATTTTTTATAAATAGCCTTTGTGCACAGCCAGCCTTGTACTCTTCTAGGTTCAAAAAACTGTCGTCCATAAAATGCGTTGCACAAATTCGAACATCTGGGTTGTGCTGTTCTGTTGTAAATAAATCTTGCCTCACGCTCAGGCTGAAGAAGACGACACGAACGCGCTCAGGACAGTTTAGACATTGCAGTGAAAGTCGTCTTCTTCAGCCTGAGCGTGAGGCGCCTTCTTCTTCTTGCTTTACGGCGGATCGCAGACTTATAAGTGCATTACCGGCCACATATCTCTCAAATGGACCATTGACACTCCTAATTGAGATTGTAGATAGTGTCAATGGTCCATTTGAGACATAGGTGGCGGTAATGCACTTAAGTTTGCAATCCGCCGTACAGCAAGAAGAAGAAGACGCGAATGTGCTCAGGACAGTTCAGACATTGCGTGAATCAGAGGTAAAAAACGATATAAATACTGTTCAGTTTCTTGCACAGACCGATCGTTTCGTGTCTTTACACATCAATGTATCGTCACAAGTCGCAGGGTTTAATTTGGTTTTGTTTGTGTATGTTTTATAACTCTCAAAGCCGTGATTCCCATCCACTTACTTTATACGACTGACAGACTGCAACGGTTTGAGTTAAAAATCTTCGTTTGTGTTCTACTGAAGAAACAGTCACCTACATCTTGGATGCCCTGGGGGTAAGCAGATAAACATCAAATTTTCATTTTTGGGTGAACTATCCCTTAAATACTTTTATTCAGAAAAGATGCATTAAATTGATTAAAAGTGACAAGACATTTATCATATTAAAAAATGCTGTTCTTTTGAAGTTTTTTTTATCAAACCAATTTATCATAGTTTCCACAAAAATATTAAGTAGCGCAACTGCTTTCAACTGTTAATAATAAGAATTGTTTCTTGAGCAGCAAATCAGCATATAAAAATGACCTCTGAAGGATCATGTGACACTAAAGACTGAAGTAACTGCTGCTGAAAAATCAGTTTTGCCATCATAGGAATAAATTACATTTTAAAATATATTAAAATAGAAAAAAAGTCATTTTAATTTTAAATAATTTCACAAGATTACTGTTTTACTGTATTTTAGATCAAATAAATGCAGCCCTGGTGAGCATAAGAAGCTTCTTTCAAAAACATTGAAAATCTTACTAACCCTAATGTATACTGTGATTTAAATTTTTCCCAAATCAGCGCCTGGAAGAAATCATGAAAAGAACAAGAAAGACAGACTCTGATGACAAGGTAAGACTATCACTGGCAGGCACTTTGTTCATGCTTCATCAAGAGGCCCTGCTCACTTTTTGTCCCCATTAGAAAGCTGCATCAGTGAAGGACAACTTGCCTTGTGAGAACGTAAAATCTGTAATCAGGCAACCAGATCCAGGAAAAATGCCAAAGCTGGAGCTGAGGGACGAGGAGGATATGCTTCCTACTGTGGCCTTCAAAGAGCGACGGTCCTTCCGCAGTCTTTCTGGCCTGGATGAGATACAAGCCCATCAGCAAACCGGTATGTGAATGCATTCATCTGACTTAATGTAAATCTGCATTTAAATCAAACATAAATTAATATATTAAGTTAATGTTACACAACTCAAGCTTAAATTTGATGATTCAAGGATTAGATTAAATGTTAGGCAAGGATGGCGTTTAACAAGTTATTTATTTAAATATAATTTAATGATATCTGAAGTATACTATTTAAAGCATGCCACCTGTTTTTATATTATAAATACATCTGATTTAAGTAAATTCATATTTAAAAGTTGCCATACAGTTGGTATACAACATGTTAATGTTTCCCCCCATGCTTCAGAGGTTATTTAACCCACGGACCTGTCATACGATGCCAAGACCTTCAGAGCAACTTCAGCAAGTTTGTCTTTCTGAAAAACACAAACAACATATGCACTTGATTTCCCTGCACTTTAATAAATCTGTAGTTTAATAAACAAGTCACACTTCCTTCTACAGATTACAGTTTCCTACTGCCCAATTAAAATACCTAAATTACTGCTTGATTTGCTAAAGTGACATCATGTATTGTTCATGTATTGCTCAGTAGACATAACTTTGGGAATGTGGTAAGATTCACATAATAATAATAATAATAATATTAACAAAGAAAATAATAATAATAATAATAATACTTGAATAATACTTAATGACTTAAAGGTAGACTACCCACCAAATAAAACTTGAATTAATTAACAAAGAAAATAATAATAATAATAATACTTGAATAATACTTAATGACTTAAAGGTAGACTACCCACCAAATAAAACTTGAATTATTCATTTTTAAGCTTTAATTTCATAATATTTTATATTTTAGCCAGTATGTTTATGGTGTTATGGTTTCTCCTTGAATGTCTGAGTGACATAATTTATCAGTCTTTTTCATAAATATACACATGTAAACAGTAATTCACCTGCACGAATGCATACTGTACACTACTGTTTAAAAGTGTGGGGTCAGTATGATTTTTATTTAATAATTAATACTTTTATTCAGCAAGAATGCATTAAAATGATCAAAGGTGACAGCAGAGACTTGAGATTGTTACAAAAATAATATTTAAATAAATGCTGTTCTTTTTGAATTTTCTAAGAATCCTAAAAAAAAAATTTATTATAGCTGCCAAACAAAAATTTAAGCAGCAATATTTTCAACACTGATAATAATACATTTCTTGAACACCAAATCAGCATATTAGAATGATTTCTAATGCATCATGTGACATTGAAGACTGGAGTAATTACTGCTGAAAATACAGCTTTGCATCACAGGAATAAATTACATTTTAAACTATATTTTAAAAAAAAGTATTTTAAAATCGTAATAATTTCACAATATTTTTTATTGTTATTATTATTTTAAATCAAATAGATGCAGCCTTAATGAGCATAAGAAAAAAATCATACAAACCATTTTGAATGGTAATGTCTGTATTTATTTTTAACCAGATATCTGTGCTAGAAATCATTCATGTAATTAAGAATCTCTCTTTGCAATGCCGCTGTTTTGACTCATGAGGGTACACGAGTATACAGAGGTAATTTTCCATCTGTCCTTATTGCTAACCGGTGATTTTGCATCACAGTATTACACCAGAGAGGTCAGCATATTCATTTCCACAGTTTCTGTAGTTGGCTTTGCACTGCTGCTATTTAGCTGTTCCAAATAAAAACACCCGCCCACAAGCCCTTTTAATAAATGAAAACTATGTGCTCGTCTGCCTTATAAACATTACTATAGTGTGCTGGTACCAGCTGACCTTGTGCAATGATAGAGGCTTATGCAAATATGGTGTAAAGATGTAAACTGTTTAATTCCTTTTTTTATCGGTGTAAGTAAATAAGCTTAAAAAACAGACTGGTTGTTGACGTTTATTTATTTAACTTTTTTTTCTTTTGTGAGTATTTCACATTCTACAAAAACACGTTTAAAAAGGAATAACCATCACATTTCCCGCTGAGGTTTTGCATTAGCTGAAATTGTCTGAGAACTGAATGTTCTTGTACCCCGAAAACATTGTTACATGTTTGGTAAATGGGCTGCCAGTTAGGCAAATGGTGACAGAAACCTCAGATGAGAAGAATCCTAGATAACTGGAGCAAGTCTAGCAGAGAGGGCATGTGGTTTAGTACTGTTAATTGATGCCTACAAGAACTGCAAACAAAAAAGCTTGAGACTTAATGAAAATTTACGCATTTATAAATAATTGTTTTCTGAATTTCTGTTAAAAATATGTAACAATCATAAATTTACAAAAAAGATGATAATGCTGAACGTTGAGAACTAGAAATAAAAAGACAGAAAATGATCTCATGTAAAGAACATAAAGAATATAAAGGTGTGACACTGGTTGTCTAGAAATAATAATAAAAAAACATTAGAAAGAAATTTTTTAATAGCCTACTTGTATTATAGGCCCACTTTAATTGTAAAAAAATGGTAAAATATAATTTTATTTCAAAAAAGTACTTGATTTTAATCAATATTATATATTTTTAATATTTTTAATAATATCTTTTACTAGTTAACTGAATATGAATTCAACTGATTATGGCAAAAAATGTGACGTTGTACAATGTTACAGGTTATATAAAGACATCCAGTCTCTGACAGGCCAAAATGCCCAATTTAACTTCATGTTAGATAATAATTTATCTAACTTATCTAATCGTTCAAAAAGATGGGATTTGTGCCTCTAAAGCTTAAAAAAACTAAATGGGACAACAAACTGTACGTTACCCAATTCCTGGAAAGTGCCACATGCAACCGTAACAGACTTTGAACCTCGGTGGACTGAATTTTGCAGCATTTACCAGATTTTGTGGGATTAAAGGGAGTTTGGACAACATTTGGTTGGATCATCCCAGCAAAACCGCATCAGATGACACAAAGGCATCGCTGTTTGAAGACTACGGTGGAGTTCTCAAGTAAATTTAGGCTAATTGCATCACCTGTCCACAGCTGCTGCTTGACTGTCTGTGAGTCGACCAACTATGAGCTGTATCGTGTCACCTCATATTAGTTTAAGATGAACATGAAGTATGGCAAATGAATCTCTCTGTGCCTAGCCAGCAGTTTTATGTGTTTATATCCAGCTATACTAAACTGGTGTGTCGACAGCCTGATTAGCTCGACGTGGACAGATATAAACAAACGTAGATGTTCGAGTCGACCAGCGGGTGGCGCTACAAGCCAATAAAAGATTTTCAGTATTTCCGGTGACTAGAGCAGGATTAACTCACTCTTGATTTATCTGCATCAAATTTCCAGCATTTCGTAATAAAAAAAATTTAAAAAACGCCATTTGTGTTAAGATCTCACTTCTAATGCATACGATATTTCCTTTCGTAATATTTAATTTAGTTACTTTTGCTTATTTAAAATATACACGTTATGACGTACATTTTTCATGACCTGTAATTATGCTTTAGATATACTTGGTCAAATAAGTAAGTAAATGTGTGTTTTAGAACTAAAATTATTTTAAATAATGCTTTTGTTGGATTGGTTTTGTGCACAGAGCTGGGTAGTAACTGATGTAATAAGATTAAATTACATTTTAAAATACTCGTAATCAGAACTACAGCTACTTTTTATGGATTACATGATTACATATTATTTACACAATATCAATAAATTATTCATAATTGATCGATTCTCCTTAATTCATCTTTTAAATGTGCCTTTCTAAAATAGCCAAAGTCTTCCAGTTTTGTGGACATTCACACAAAGACCAGTCCGCTGGCTACACAGCATTTGACCACTGGATTTACAAAAATCATTTCAGGTTTAAGAAGTGTTTCAACATTGCATCAACTACTAATTAAATTACATTTTAAAATACTCGTAATCAGAACTACAGCTACTTTTTATGGATTACATATTATTTACACAATATCAATAAATTATTCATAATTGATCGATTCTCCTTAATTCATCTTTTAAATGTTCCTTTCTAAAATAGCCAAAGTCTTCCAGTTTTGTGGACATTCACACAAAGACCAGTCCGCTGGCTACACAGCATTTGACCACTGGATTTACAAAAATCATTTCAGGTTTAAGAAGTGTTTCAACATTGCATCAACTACTGATGAACACATTAATTTTTATTTGAATTATCACTCTGTAGGTTATTTAACCATGTATTTCTATGTCTTTGGAAGACTTTTGTCTTTCAAACACATTAAAATGCACAAATTCCCAAACTTTTTTGCCATCTGATCCTCTTTCACCCAATATATTTACTTGAAGGACACTTGAGATTTTAATAATTAAGTATCACATTTACATGTTAATTGGTTCTCTGACATTGGTTATGTTCACATGACGTGCAGGTAAACAAATAAAATATTTCATTTTCTCAGTAAGTTTTCTATTTTGATTGATTTTAACTTTTTTATGATTTAATTAATTAGCAGCTTTTCATTAAACTCATAAACCCCCTTCAGTTCCTTTCCCAAACCCGTTTGGGAAACCTTGATGTAATATCATGTTTAATGCACTTCATGTTGTTAATAACAAATGGAATATATTTTCTTACTCTTTGTATATTTATGTCATTATGGCACAAGATTGTCATATTTAAATCAATGTGATAAACGAGTTCGGTTAAAAGTAATCTAAAAGTAGTCTGATCATATTATCATCACATTACTAAAATGTGTAATGTTACATTACTAATTACATTTTTTATGTAATTTTGAATCAGTAACGGATTACAATTTGCAAAGTAATCTACCCAGCTGTTTGTGCATAATCATAGACACTGAACCTAAAGTAGTCTAAATATTAAAATCAAAATTTCATTCTTGCCTTTTAACAATAAAAATAATAAATGTATAAAATTAGGATACAATAAAGCACACAATTAACAGACACAGCAACCAAATGATATATAATTTATTGCACTCCAGTGCATTTAAACATGAAAATTTAACCATTTTCATTACAAAAGCAGGACATGGATTCACTTGGTGACTTTTAAAAATGATAAAGACACAAGTTACTTTCCATACACATTCTCATGCAGAAAGTCTGGCTTGTTTGCAATATTGGACATATTTTGCTTAGAAATGTATCAGGATGCATTAACATTCTGGTTTTGTCCAGAGTTCACTTTTATTTGCTATGATCATGCAGCCAGAGTGCTTGCTCTGTACTGTGGATATATCAGCTTACAATTTAGGAAAATATAAGAAAAAACTTTTTACAACATATTACAGGCCCCACAGGCTCAAATTAAATCCTTCAGTTTTAGGATTTATATCAGTCCAGAGACCTAAAAACCACCACTAACACCTTCAATGTCCAAAATATTACAAATTCAGTCAATATATTGTATTTATAAATGTGTAAAATAACCGATAAATGTGTTAGAATTTTGTGTGCTCTTGCATTTTGTAGAATGCATCAAATATACTGTAAGTGCAGGATTTATTACTAAAATAATAGGCAAATTCATAATTTGTTCACTGTGTTGGGCATAGGTTTCAGTATCTTTAACTGAATCTTTGGCAGTTTTTGTCTCGAGTAAAAAAAAAAAAAGTGCTGTTGACGCCATAAAAGTGTCTCTTAACTTAGAGAGCCCTATATAATATTTCTTAATACCATAATACCCTGGCCTTATCTTATCAAAAATGTTAGTGGAATATAATCGAAGCATGTATTTGTGCTAAAAA